GACAAAGATGCCATGGCTGCTTTTTCCTTGTCCCCACCGTGCCCAAAATAGTTTGCCAGGAACTGACTGCAACTGTTCTGGATCATCCCTGCTGCGTTTGGGCTCTTGCCACCCCTTGTGCCCTCAGGCAACTTCATAATTAACAAAGCGATTTCGTCCCTGGTTAGCAGAAGTGTCTTGCCGTCTTGTGCATACTTCGGCTTTACTTGCCGCAGCGTGGGCCCTCCGAGCTTCGACTGCAACGTTTTTTGGGCAACTCTTTCTTCCGAGTAATTGCACAGCAAGGCCACTGCTCTGACAGCGCAGATATTGTCTCCATCGCTAACGTGATCTAGAAACGCCTGTTTCTGCATTGTCGTCCGGCTTACTCGGCGGAGAAGCTCTGTGAGAGTTTCCTGGGCCAAACTGGCTACGGACACCCCCCCATCCTCCTCCTCCTCCTCCTCCTCCTCCTCCTCCTCCTCCTCCTCCTCCTCCTCCTCCTCGTCCGAGGCGGCGGCGGCAGCCCGCAGACGTTGGAATAACAGCCTCGAAACGACACAAGAGGGGCGGCCTTAAGCAGCCCAAGAGGGCCCTAAGACATCCCAAGAGGAGCCCATACCGACCAAGCGTAGTCGACATTCGCTTTCGAAGTCGGCTCCAGGACGCGGCCCGAGGCAGTTGGAGGGCGAGGAGGCGCGGCGGCATCGGGGCCCCAGATCACCCCAGGACGGCTCGAGAAGCCCCAAAGACGGCCCACGAGGCCCCCAGGAGGGCCGATACAGACCAAACGTGGTCGGTATCTCGGCCCCAGATCACCCCGCGACGGCTCGAGAGGCCCCCAAGATGGCCCACGAGGGCCCCAAGATTGCCGATACCGACCAAACTTGGTCGGTATCAGAGCCCCGGATCACCCCAGGACGGCTCGAGAGGCCTCCAAGACGGCCCACGAGGGCCCCAAGAAGGTCGATACCGACCAAACTTGGTCGGTATCGGGGCCCTGGATTACCCCAGGACGGCTCGAGATGCCCCTAAGACGGTCCACGAGGGCCCCAAGAGGGCCAATACCGACCAAACTTGGTCGGTATCGGGGCCCCAGATCACCGCAGGACGGTTCGAGAGGCCCCCAAGACAGCACACGAGGGGGCCCAAGAGGGCCGATGCCGACCAAACTTGGTCGGTATCGGGGCCCCAGATCACCCCAGGACGGCTCGAGGCGCCCCCAAGACGACCCACGACGCCTCCAAGGGGCCGATACCGACCAAGTTTGGTCGGTATCGGGGCCCCCGATCGCCCCAGGACGGCTCGAGAGGCCCCCAAGACGGCCCACGAGGGCCCCAAGATGGCCGATACCGACCAAACTTGGTCGGTATCGGAGCCCCGGATCACCCCAGGACGGCTCGAGATGCCCCCAAGACGGTCCACGAGGGCCCCAAGAATGCCGATACCGACCAAACTTGGTCGGTATCGGGTCCCCGGATTACCCCAGGACGGCTCGAGAGGCCCCCAAGACAGCATACGAGGGGGCCCAAGAAGGCCGATACCGACCAAACTTGGTCGGTATCGGGGCCCCAGGGCCACAAGAAGGCCGATACCGACCAAATTTGGTCGGTATCGGGGCCCCGGATCACCCCAGGACGGCTCGAGAGGCCCCCAAGACGGCCCAAGAGGGCCCAAAGAAGGCCGATACCGACCAAGTTTGGTCGGTTTCGGGGCCTCGGATCACCCCAGGACGGCTCGAGAGGCCCCCAAGACGGTCCACGAGGGCCCCAAGAGGGCCAATACCGACCAAATTTGGTCGGTATCGGGGGCCCCAGATCACCCCAGGACGGTTCGAGAGGCCCCCAAGACAGCACACGAGAGGGCCCACGAGGGCCGATACCGACCAAACTTGGTCGGTATCGGGGCCCCAGATTACCCCAGGACGGCTCGAGGCGCCCCCAAGACGACCCACGACGCTTCCAAGGGGGCCGATACCGACCAAGTTTGGTCGGTATCGGGGCCCCGGATCACCCCAGGACGGCTCGAGAGGCCCCCAAGACGGCCCACGAGGGCCCCAAAATGGCCGATACCGACCAAACTTAGTCGACATCGCAGCCCCGGATCACCCCAGGACGGCTCGAGAGGCCTCCAAGACGGCCCACGAGGGCCCCATGAAGGCCGATACCGACCAAACTTGGTCGGTATCGGGTCCCCGGATTACCCCAGGACGGCTCGAAAGGCCCCCAAGACGGTCCACGAGAGCCCCAAGAGGGCCAATACCGACCAAACTTGGTCGGTATCGGGGCCCCAGATCACCCCAGGACGGTTCGAGAGGCCCCAAAGACAGCATACGAGGGGGCCCAAGAAGGCCAATACCGACCAAACTTAGTCGATATCGGGGCCCCAGGGCCCCAAGAAGGCCGATACCGACCAAATTTGGTCGGTATCGGGGCCCCGGATCACCCCAGGACGGCTCGAGGCGCCCCCAAGATGGCCCACGATGCTTCCAAGGGGGCCGATACCGACCAAACTTGGTCGGTATCGGGGCCCCAGATCACCCCAGGACGGCTCGAGAGGCCCCCAAGACGGTCCACGAGGGTTCCAAGAGCGCCAATACCGACTAAACTTGGTCGGTATCGGGGCCCCAGATCACCCCAGGACGGTTCGAGAGGCCCCCAAGACAGCACACGAGAGGGCCCAAGAAAGCCGATACCGACCAAACTTGGTCGGTATCGGGGCCCCAGATCACCCCAGGACGACTCGAGGCGCCCCCAAGACGACCCACGACGCCTCCACAAACACATGCACGAACACACACACACAAACACACATACACACATACGCGCACACACACACACATACACACACACACACACACACACACACACACACACACACACACACACACACCACACACACACACACACGTACGCGCATACACACACACACACAGACGACGACGACGACGACGACGACGACGACGACGACGACGACGACGACGACGACGCGACGACGACACACACAGACACGCAGACGACGACGACGACGACGACGACGACGACGACGACGACACGACGACGACGACGACGACGACACACACACACACACACACACACAGACGACGACGACGACGACGACGACGACGACGACGACGACGACGACGACGACGACGACGACGACGACGACGACGACGACGACGACGACGACGACGACACACACACACACACACACACACACACACACACACACACACGCAGACGACGACGACGACGACGACGACGACGACGACGACGACGACGACGACGACGACGACGACGACGACGACGACGACACACACACACACACACACAAACCGATTGGAATCGTGTTAGGCTTATGTTGTCGAATGGTACCGAATCCTGATCGCCACGGGGGGGCTCCCCTTCCCAGCCCCGGGGAGGAGGCCGAGGCTCTGGTGGATGGAAGCGCGCGGCAAAAAGGTCGCGAAGCCAGAGGGCCACGCGTTCCAGGGCCCAGGGGCCCTCTCGAGGAGGCGCAATAATTTCAGGAAGCGAAAACATGGAGTGAGGCACGGGCCCCGTTTCCATGCGAGATCGGCGCGCGCCGTCGCCAAAACAGCGGCATTGGCGCCATGTTTCGGGAGGACCTTTCCCGGATCTGTGGGCCGCCAGATCCACAGATCCTTCATCCATGTTAGCGTGTGCCCGATCCTCTCCTTGTCCCGGGGAAGAGATCGAGATCTCCTTAGAAACACGCGACAAAAAAAGGCGAGGCCAGAGGTCAACGCTTCTCAGGGCCCGAGGGCATTCCTCCCTCCCGTTGCCTCCCTCTGTCGAGGACCACAAAAACGACATGAGCATCAGTGTTCCGGGGTCCGTGCGGGTCTCCCTGGTCGGCAACCTGACACCCCCACCCACACGCCCAGGCGGCGCTTCTGGCGCCGCCCCTGGCGCGCTGCGCGCTCCTGGGAAGGAGTGCGGGCAGGGGACTTTAGCGCCGATTCGAGAAATCTGCACTGGTTTCCGAAAGTTTACGTTTATGTTGCCTCCTGTTGTTATACACCATCAGTCCGATAACGAGGGGCGGACAGACCGTGGAGGGTCCTTGAGGAGGCGGCTGGGCCAATCTCGCTTGCTCTGACCTGCTTTGCGCTCCTCTAGTCCGAGAGTTCAAGCCTCATCATACCAAGACCGCATGGCTTTAAGCAGCTTAAAACCATCCAGAGGCAAACCAACCCGAGGAGGACAATTGAGAGATCAGCTCGAGACGACCAAAAATGGAGCACTTCTCCATTATATGCGAGCAGGCCTTGGGGAAGGGCGGGGCGTCCCCCAACTCCAAAGTCCATTGTCACCAGAGCCACCACGACGGCCCAAATGCTTGCCAATTTGTTCCAAAAGGGCACCGAGTGGAACTCGAGAGAGCCCATGAGGGCCCCAAAATCCATAACAGCTTCGGGGGTCCTGGAAGTTTCGGCACATGTTTCGGAACGCCAGTTTTTGGACTCAGGATAGCTCCAACAGGGCCTCGGAGGAGAGCACCAAAAAGCATCCCAAGATAGCCAATGATGGCCAGGGAGAGCCCCACGAGGGCCCCCAGAGGAGCCCAAGAGGGCTCCAATTCTGCCCAAGACGGCCTCGAGATGGCTCACCCTCGCCCCGAGAGGTCCCCAAAGCGACGGCCGCACGAGAGCTTGAACGCGCCCAAAAGGGCAAACAATGATTGCAACAGCATTCAAGTAACTAGGCCAGAAGGGGACCCCGAAACAGGCCCACGGGACCCCCAGATCGCCTCGAGACGGCCGCGCGAGAGGCGCGCAGTGGAGCAGGACCTTCCCATCGCTGCGGGTTTCTCTCGAGTTGCGTTCAGCCGTAGCGACCAGAACCCCCCGGGATCTCCCAGAGGCCTCCGAGGCGACGACGTCGGCTAACGACGACGTCGGCTAACGACGATGACGACGACGACGACGACGACGACGACGACGACGACGACGACGACGGCGACGACGACGGCGACGACGACGACGCCCCGCCCCCGAGGAGAGGCTGCAGAGCGAGTCCGCCCAGCTGAAGGAGCTCCAGCGGGGGGCCCGCGAGGGCGCGGGCCCCGCGGAGGACACGGAGAGGACGCGGGAGCTGCAGGCCTTGCTGGCCCAGAGGGACAGGGAGCTGCAGGCCCCGCGGGCAGAGCGAGACGCCCCCCTAGGGGGGGGGAAAAGGCTGCCAGGAGGGGATCTCGGCTCGTATCGTCTGGTCCACGGCTCGAAGCTCGAGCCAAAAACTTGAGCCAAACAGCTCCTCGTCGTCCTCATCGCCCTCCTGCTGCTCCATCCCTCCTCGCCCGCCCCCCACACATCACACTGATGTCACATTCCTCCTCCTCCTCCTCCTCCTCCCCTCCTCCTCCTCCTCCTCCTCCCTCCTCCTCCTCCCTCCTCCTCCTCCTCCTCCTCCTCCTCCTCCTCCTCCCTCCTCCTCCTCCTCCTCCTCCTCCTCTTTCTCGATCCTCCCCATACTTTTGAGGAGGCCCTCCTCAGGTGCACCGATGGCGGGGCCGGGCCGAGAGCGACTCACTCGCGGCACAGGAGAGCGCCGCCCCCATCTCATCCTCACACCTTGAAGCAGCAGCAGCAGCAGCAGCAGCAGCAGCAGCAGCAGCAGCAGCAGCAGCAGCAGCAGCAGCAACGGCAGCAGCAGCAGCAGCAGGCTTTGGCCGAGGAGGAGAAATTGAGGAGGGAGGTGGGAGGAGCAATGGGCATGGCTGGTTCATCGGCGCGCACGGTGTTTGCTTGAATGCGGAGCTGCGACTTTGGCATGCGGTGCAGGGATCCCCTCGCACGCCGCAGGGGACCATGTCACCGCCGTCGCAGGCTCGCTCCAAAGTATGGGATTGCCGCTGTCCCTTCTGGGCACCGGCAACCTCACGCGCGCGCGCTAGCCAAGGGCAAGCAGCTGGACAGGGCAAGTAGCCTCGGGCTGCGGGCCCCAGCACAGCCACACCTCTGACCGACGCATTGCGTCTGAAATCCAGAGAGGTGGCTGATATGTCCACCTCGCTCTCACCGTTGCAGCGTTCGTGACGACATTGCGAGTGCTGTCGAATTGGTGCCTGATAGAAGCGTAGGGCGCACGTGGCGATGGATTTCATACAGAGAGGGAGGAGGAGGGGGATGGGAAGGGGACTGATGGCGCAGGCCCGTCCAGGGGCCTCTGGCACCTAGCCGAGACGTGGCCAATGCCACCAGGGGTTGAGCTCCGATGAGCCCAGCAGCAAAACGAGCCGCATCCGACGAGGCGACGAGGGGGCACAGGGAAACCCGCGCCCGAAGAGAACCAAAACGGCCCCACGGGCCCGAGGCGGATCCAGCCGTAGCGACGAGGGGGGCCCACGCCAGAACCAAGGCGAATCCGACGAGGCCACGAGAGTGAGCCCAGACCGATGACGAGGAGGGGGAGGAGGAGGAGGAGGAGGAGGAGGAGGAGGAGGAGGAGGAGGAGGAGGAGGAGGAGGAGGAGGACCAGAGCAAAGCCAGGACGCACAAACGATTTTGCAATACGCCTTCCCGTCCAAAGTCTCCTGCTCATCAGTCGTTTCTTTTCCATTACGGGAAGCGCCACCCTTGAATGACGAACGCCAGGCAGTCCTGCCACTTAGGCGAGACCCCGCTTTGCAAAGCAACCACCCTCCATCGTTCATCCTTCTAACGAATTGAAACACAAAGAGGTAGGATGGCAAAGTTCAAGACGGTCTTCAGCGATAGCCCCTTTTCGCGAAGGATCTCAATCCGCCCATGCATGTGCTGCAGAATTTCAAACGTATGATCGAAATGTTTGCGGAAGTTTCAAGCGAAAGCTCAATTTTGAAAAGAAGCCGCCGTTCATCCGTGGAATTATGGGGCGCAGATTTGAAACCTCAAGCGAGAGCGGCATTGTGAAATCGATTCAGCCTCCATCCATGAAATTGTAGGAGATGTTTAACATGAATGTGCCCGGCGCGAAGGCGAGAAGTGCATTGTGAAAACCATTGGCTCTTCACCCTTTGGTCTGTGGAAAATGCTTTAGACGAGTGTGATCGGCGCTGGGGCGAGAGCCGCATTTTGAAAGACACCGGCCCTCCATCGCTGCAGGCGTTGAAAGTTTCAAAACGATCACGCGCGGGGCCAGGGCGAGAGCCACGTCTTGAAAACCCTTGGCCGTCAATCGTTGTTATTGCCTAAACGTTTGACTTCAGACAGGAAAATCAAGAAAGTCTCAAACGAAACGCCTGGCCAGCGTACGGGCACGTCTGGTGGTTCGACAGGGGGAACGAATTAGAAGGCAGAGGAGGAGGGAGAAGAGGGGAGCAGGAGGAGGGGGAGGAGGAGGAGGAGGGAGCGAGAAGGGAGGGAGGCAAGTTGCGTCATGCGTTGCGACGGGAGCAGTAAAGCTTCGAAACGATTTGCTGCGGCGCTGGCTATGGAGGTGCGTGCGAAGACCAATCAGGGATCGAATATTTTCTTGAATCGCTTCGCTCATTCTGCCGGCCCGTATTGTGCCATCGCTGGCGCTTGCCAGCAAGTTCGTGGCCCATGCGGCGCTGCTTGACGGTGTTTTTTTTGTTCTGGAGGCGTGGCGACAGCAGGCATGGAGGTCAAGTAGTTGCTTTGGTGCTTGTCGTGGGGGCTCTGGCCTCTACTGCTCACCGACATGGCTAGGTTGTGGGTCAGAGTCCTCAGGGATGCTTCTCGGGGTCTCTTTGGAGCACTCTCGGGGGCTTCTGGCGGGCAGTTCTGGGGACTCCTGGGAGCATCTTGGGAGCCCTCTGGGAGCCTCTTTGGAGTCTCTTGGGGCTTCCTGGAGGCCTCTTGGCGGCCTCTTGCGGCCTCTTGGGGGCCCCATTGGGGCCTCCTGGGGGCTTCTTGGGGCCGAGGGCTCGAATTGTCCGTTCGGGTCCCCCGTCTGGGCTTCCTCTTGGAGCCGTCATCGGGGTCTCTTGGGCCGTTTTTGGAGGCCTCTTGAGCCATCTTGGGCTCTCTTGGGCTCTCTTGGGGCCTTCCAGGAGGCCTATTGGGCCGTTTGGGGGCGATCTTGGAGGCCTCTTAGGCCGTCTTTGAGAGTCGGGAAGCCGCGCAGGCGAGAATGACAAAATCTTTCAAAAAGCCAAGGGAAATCAATGATTCTTGCCTTTGGGGACCCTCTGGGGAGTCCTCTTGAAGGGCTATTGGGCCGTCTGGGGGCCATCTCGGACGTCTTGGAACGATCTTGTGGTGTCCCGAACGCCTCTCGGACCATCTTGGGGGCCTCTTGGCCCTTCTTGGGGCTTTATGGTGGGCCCCGAGGGCGGCGCCCAGGAGCAAAACCACCTTTGATCGGACTTTGCCGGGGTACTTTTCGACTGGGCACCCCCAGGGGCGGCCCCGCGCGCGCGAACTAAAACTCTGAACCAGTCACCGGAGATCTTCGCACGCCTCTGGCCCGTTAGGCCGGCGAAGTTTTGGCGAGAAAGGATTGTGATGACAGACCGATGTCCTTGTTGTCAGTCGTGCTGCTTCCGTTCGGAGACCGTGCTCTTTAATTTGAGCGAGTCTGGACAACATTTTTCTTTGTGATCGGCTATTCCAGCTTGGATCTGAGCCGTGACGAAAGAAAGGAAGAGGAGGAAGGGGAAGGAGGAGGAGGAGGGAGATGAAGGGAACGCAGGAGGAATGAGGAGGAGGAGGACGACGACGACGACGAGAGAGGGGGCAAGAAGGGGAGGAGGAGGAGGAGGAGGAGGAGGAGGAGGAGGAGGAGGAGGAGGAGGAGCAACGCAGGCGCGAAGGGAGTCGAGCCGACCAGAGGAAGCGCTCATGAGCTCGTGCTTCCACGAGATCGGCCTGCGGTACCACAGACTCCGCGCCCAGCACGAGATCCTCCAGCGCCGACAGCCCGAGGGGGACAGGCCGGGCTCCCCGCCGGCCGACAGGACCGGGGGGCGGTGACGCCTCGGTGCGGAGAAGAGCGCTGCTGGCACGCCCCGCCTGCTGTTGCTGCCTCCGCGCCCCGCCCAGGACATCCAAGGCCCTCTTCCTCCTCCTCCTCCCCCTCCCCCTTCTCCTCCTCCCTCCTCCCCCTCCCTCCTCCTCCTCCTCCTCCTCCTCCTCCTCCTCCTCCTCCTCCTCCTCCTCCTCTTCCTCCAGGGACGGAGGGTGGGGCGGGTGCGACTACAGTCAAGCGATCGCAAACGTGGATCAAGGGGGCGTGGATTAGCGACGGGCCCCGTTTCCATGGGAAATCGCGGGTTTCCGCCGCCGAACGAGGCGGCACCGGCCGCTCTTCGGGGAGGGTACCTCCCCCGATCCATGGATTTGGCCACTGCGCGCCAAATCCATGGATCGCTGATCCATTTTTGCACGCCCCCGATACAGTCGGATCGAGGTCGGTTCGGGGAGGGTATCCTAATGTGCTTCGTGCGTGTTGGATGCTCAAGAGCATCCTGGGGAGGATACCCTTGGATGTTCTGTGCGTTTTGGCCGACGGAGGGTCTCGTGTTCTTGAGGGATGTTTTTCTGGCCTAGGTCTGACTGTAGAGGCGGTAAATATCATGGCCAGGGCCATGACATCTCCCCAGAATTGAATATCCCCTTCTTCTTATCATTATCCGTAAGGGCTTCGCCCCCTGCCGCCGGCCCCCTCTCTCGGATAATGCGCTATGCAAGAGCTATGTCATGAGGCCTGGGCGCAGTCGTGAAGCAGTATCGGAACTTCATGCGAGGCCGACTCGTAATGAGCAAAACCACTTGATCACCAGAGGGGTTACCACACCTGCGTGAGGGGTGCCACCGAATTTCAGAAATGTGGCAAAACCCTTGTGTTTCTGGACCCTGACCCTACGGATCTGCGTGAGAGGTGCCACCGAATTTCAGAAATGTGGCAAATCCCCTGTGTGTTTTTTTACCCTGCCCTTACGGATCTGCGTGAGGGGCCCCACCGAATTTCAGAAATGTAGCAAATCCCGTGTGTTTTGGGACCCTGACCCTACGGATCTGCGTGAGGGGTGCCACCGAATTTCAGAAATGTGGCAAAACCAATTTGTTTTTGGACCCTGACCCTACGGATCTGCGTGATGGGTGCCACCGAATTTCAGAAATGTGGCAAATCCCTTGTGTGTTTTAACCCTGACCATACGGATCTGCGTGAGGGGTCCCACCGAATTTCAGAATTGTAGCAAATCCCTTGTGTTTTTTCACCCTGACCCTACGGATCAGCGTGAGTCGAGGGGTGCCACCGAATTTCAGAAATGTGGCAAATCCCATGTTTTTTTGTTTTCCCCCTGACCCTACTGCGTCACGGATCTGCGTGAGGGGCCCCACCGAATTTCAGAAATGTGGCAAATCCCTTGTGTTTTTGCACCCTGACCCTACGGATCTGCGTGAGGGGTGCCACCGAATTTCAGAAATGTGGCAAATCCCTTGTGTTTTTGGACCCTGACCCTGCGGATCTGCGTGAGGGGTGTCAATTTAATTCTGAGAACCCTCCCAGGGCGTGGTAGTTCTGCTGGTTTGGGCTCCCCCCCCCTCGCGCGTTCATCAACAAGGAACAGTAAGCAGCAAGAAGCAGAACTGTAACAGTGGAAACTGTAAGCTGCAACTGGTACAGGGAGCAGCACATTCCCGGCCTACAGCCTGGTGGCCCCGCAAGGGGGCCGGCGGATTATTCTTCGTATTATTATTCTTCTTATTACAATTTTCCTTTCCATACGTTCCCTGGCCCCCGCTCGTCCGCGCAGGTGCTTCCGGTCATAATTTGCAAGCCCCCTTCTGGACGACCCCCCAGAAGCCAGAAGCCAGGCAGAAAAGTTTGTCGTCTCTGGCATCTGGGGGGCGCCGTTCTCGGGCCGCGGGGCCGTCAGGGATGGCAAGCCGTCGCGCGGGGAGAGGGTCGGGACTTCCGGAGGCCCTGCACCGAAACGGTGAGGCCATCGGATGTTTGGGGCTGCTGATGTTGCTGATCTCCCCCTCTCCCTTGGGGAGAAGGGGAGAGGGAGGAAGCGAAAGGAGGAGAAGGGCCGAGACGATCGAAGAGGAGAAGAGGCGGAAGGTTGAGAGGTCCCCGGAGGCCTCCCGAGGCCCACGAATAGCCCCAGAGGTGATTTCAAGAGCCTTCGATCTTCGACCTCGCCCCCCGCGCGCGGGCGTACCCCCGGCGGGCGCGAGCCCGCTGCCCCCGCCGCGCTGGCCCACAGGCGTGGCGGCGTTGGCGGCGGGGCGGTCACAGCCCCGAGGGGCCGTCCCAGCACCTGATGGTCCCCCCCCCCCTCCTCGGAGGAGGTGCGGCATGTCGCCCTGCCTGCTCGGCAGCCCTTCTTCTCGTGCCCACCAGCGCCCCTTCCGCGAAGTGTTCACGCTTCGCGCCGCCGGTCTCACAATCCCCGGCAGAGGCCAGAGGCAGGGGAATAGGTTCATGGGGAGGGATGCATCCACCCCCAATCACCCATTCATCGCTAGGGCCGGATAGCCAGCCCACCCCGCCCAGGACCGTGCGGTTTCGCTATCCGAGGCCTATGGCCGATCGATCGGCGATGTGTCACCGAGTTCAGCTCTCGCTGCTTCCCCCCCTGAGCCGCTCCCCCCCTGACGTTGCCCCTCATGCCGCCCCCCTTCCTTCCCCCCCCCTTCCCCATGTCCCCAGCCCTCGCAGGGATGGCCTGGCCCTGGCTCGAGGCCGGCCGCCGCGTGCGCGCAGGCGCGCGCGCGGCCTGGCGCCGCGCGGCGCCTCGGCACCGACGACGGCGCCTCGCCCGTCGTCGCGGCTCGTGGCCCGCCGTAGCCGCGCGGCATGGCCCCAGCCGCGGTTTCGGGCGGGGCGGCCGCCGTGGTACAGCAGGCTTGCGACGACGGGGGGCGCGTTTGCGGACGTTCTCGTCGGTCCTCGGCGATTTTTTCCTGCCTCGGTGTGCTCTCCAGCAGTTGCGCCTCGCCGAGAGCGTTCCGGGGAATGCCCAGATCGCTCCGGGCGGCCGCCAGATGGCCGAGTTCTAACGTGAAAGCGTGCGCGGCCGCACGTCGCCACGAAGGGGATCTTGCTCGTCCAGGCCTCCCAGATGGCATCGCCGATGCATCGGCGATGCGGTTCGATGTGAAGCCCGATGTTCTGCCAGCCGACGTCGCTAGTACATCGCCGACGTCGCCGGTGCATAGGCGACGTCGCCGATGCATCGGTACTGTATCGACGATGAGGCGTGATTATACGACCCCATCCACCCTGACCCCATCAGAAAGTCCTTCAGCTCTGCTCCCGCGTCGCTCCGTCGTGAGAGAAACTGGTCCTGGCCCTGACCTCTGTAGAACGCGCCCGAGCCCCTTGAGTAATGGAAGCAATCCTGGCGCCTACCCCCAGGACCAATCGGGTCCTGCACTAAAGGGGTCCTGCACGTATTTGTCCTGGTCATCAGCGCTTTCGCCAGGCCCCAGCACCACCAGAACAACATAAGCGATCCGGATGACAAGCTGTTCCTGGGGAAAGCCTCAGAGTCCAGGATCCCTTTTCCCGCCTTTGCCTAATCTGCCTCCCTCCTTCCCTAATTCCCTCTCGTAATCCTCCCCGCTCCCTCCTGAGCCTCCTCCTCCTCCTCTTCCTCCTGCTCCTCCTCCTCCACCTCCTCCTCCGCCTCCTCCTCCTCCTGCTCCTGGTCCCCCTCCTCCCTCCTCCTCCTCCTCTTCCTCCTCCTCCTCCTCCTCTCCCTCCTCCTCTCCCCCTCCTCCGCCTCCGCCTCCTCCTCCTCCTCCTCCTCATCGTCATCATCATCAGCAGCAGCATCATCGATAGCATCACCATCATCCTCATCCTCAGCAGTAGCATAAGCATCAGCATCATCATCAGCATCATCAGCATCATCAGCATCAGCAGCATCAGCAGCATCATCATCATCATCATCAGCATCAGCATCAGCATCAGCATCATCATCATCCTCATCCTCATCATCATCATCATCATCATCATCATCATCATCATCGTCGTCGTCGTCGTCATCATCAGCATCATTATCATCTTCCTCCGAATCAGTATCATCCTCATCTTCATCATCAGCATCAGCAACATCATACTCATTACCACTACCATCATCTATATCATCACCACCATCATCACTATCACCATCAACATCACCATTACTACCATCCTCACCATCATCATCATCAACAACAATGGCATGATCATCATCAGCAGCATCATCATCAGCAGCAGCATCATCAGTAGCATCACCTTCATCATCGACATTAGCATCAGCATCATCATGATCATCATCAGCAGCAGCAGCATCATCATCATCATCCTCATCGTCATCGTCATCATCAGCAACAGCATCATCATCAGCATCAGCATCATCATTTTCATCATCATCATCATCATCATCATCATCACCATCGTCGTCATCGTCGTCGGCATCGGCATCGGCATCGGCATCGACATCATCATCACCATCACCATCACCACCATCTTCATCATCGTCAGCAGTAGCAGCAGCAACAGCATCATCATCGTCATCAGCATCCGCATCATCCTGATCGTCCTCATAATCAACAGCAGCATCATCAGCATCATCATTATCATCATCGTCATCAGCATCAGCATCATCATTATCATCCCCTATCATCATTATCATGCTCATCATCAGCTTAGTCATCCCTCCCCATATCTATAAACATTACCCCATGATCAGCATAATCCTCCTCCCCACTCCTCATCCTACCTCTCCCTCCCCATTATCATACATCCTCATCATCGTCATGAGATTGATCATCACCATCATCAGGCATTATCAGCATCATCGTCATCATCATCATCAGCATCATCATCATCGACATCATCATCATCATCATCATCATCATCATCATCAGCAGCAGCAGCAGCAGCATCATCGTCTTCCTCCTCTTCTTGCCAGTTCTGTCCCTCCTCCTCATCCTCCCTCCCGCCTCCTCTCCCCCCACTCTCTCTCTTCTACCGTCCCTGCCTGCACCCCAGCCCAGCCCGCCAGGCCGAGTGGGCTCGCAGGCTCTTCGCGCGCATGTACCCCGAGTACCTCCGGGTCGGGCCATACCACCCCGCGGCAAAGGCCTTGCTGTGCGCATACGCCGCGCTCCTGCTCGGCACCAGCAGGGCGGCGCTGCGCGGCGGCCGCGGCCCAGACGACGAGGGCTCAGACGACGAGTGTCCGAAGGCCACGCCGCTGCTGCGCGCCGCCTCGGCGCGCGCGGTGCGCCTGGCGGGGGCAGCGTGGGGGCTCGCGGTGTTGGCCTGGACGTACAGGAGCCAGGGCGGCGCCTGGCCGTTGGTGACCTACACCATTCGATCATCCTCAGGACGTGAGTTGGCCCAATGTGGGTTCACCCCTTTCAGCTCCGCCGATTACACCGCCTGCGTCGCATCGAAGCGCTTCGGTGGAAGAGCACACGTTGGCGCTGACACGTTCTGAGGATCATCGAACCATGCAGAGCTGGACGCTCATGACATTCCGGTACGTCGCCGGGCTGCTGGCGGAGCCGCCCATCGACGCGCCGTCGGCGGGGCCGTTGCGGCGGGCGCTGTTGTGGGCCTACGAGGCCCTGCGATTCCCCGCCCTGGCGCAGAACTCGGTCACGGTGGCCGTCTGGTGGACCGTCATGGTGCCCGTCTGCACCGTCGCCCTCCGCCGGCAGGGGAAGGGGTCGCTCGCTTCCTTCTGGAGGTTTAACGCGAGCCCTCTGCTCATCAACGTGCACCTGCTGAACTTGCCGCTCGCGGCCGCGGAGCACCTGGCCCACCCGCGCAGGTTGTCGTTCAGAGACCTGTGGATGGGGATGGCGGCCGCCGGGCTATATTTGTCCTTCTATCTGCGGCTCTTGGACGCGAGGGGGCTCCACTTGTACATTTTCCTCAGCCCTCGCACCAAGCTGTTCGGCCTAGCAGGGGCAGCATCGCTGGGGATGTACGCAGCGCTGTGGCGACTCTGGGATGGCGCGGCCGCGATCGCGCTCCGCAGCGCGCGAGCCACGCGCGGAGCGAGGCGTCGCCGGCCGCTGACGAGGTAGGAGCGCCCGCGGGCGCCAGAGCCTCTCGGCCAGTCCGAGTCTGGCGCTCGTCGCTCCCACTCCCCCGCCTCCTCCTCCTCCTCCTCCACCCACCTCCTCCTCCTCCTCCTCCTCCTCCTCCTCCTCCTCCTCCTCCTCCTCCTCCTCCTCCTCCTCCTCCTCCTCTCCCCTTCCCCCTCTCCTCCTCCCCCCCCTCCTCCTCCTCCTCTCCTCCTCCTCCTCCTCCTCCTCCTCCTCCTCCTCCTCCTCCTCCTTACCTCCTCCGGCGGACCGCGGGTCTTTGCCGCCGAGCACTTTGAATTTGTGCCGGCGCGTACCACCAACGCTCAGCGTCGGCCCCTTCAGGACGGCATTTGCACCAGGTAACAGCCATCCTTACGGGGGGGGGGGCGCGCCGGCCAGGGCCTCTACCTGGCGCTACCCAGGAGCACGACGCCGAGCGCGACGATGATGTCGTCGTACGCCCTGGGCCTCCCCGCCAGTGCACCCTCCAGCGCGGCCCCCGCCAGTGCGCCAGGCGCCCCGCGCAGCGTTCCAGGGAAGGGCGCCCTCGCCAGCTGCTCCAGCACTCCCAGCGCCCCCCAGCCCGCCGCGCCGCGCCCAGCCCCGGCGGCGTCGCCAGCAGCGCGGCCAGCCGCCCTGAGCACGCCCAGCCGTCGCCCGGCGCTGGCCTGCGCCCAGGCTGGTTCAGTTCGGCCAGCTGGCTCTTTGTCGCTCCCTGGTCAAGCTCCAGGAGCGCCAGCCTGGGCGGCGCCCCGCGGCCGCCCCCGCTGGGCCAGCAGAGCCCAGGTCGGAGGAGTCTTTCGTCCGCCGACCCCTGCCAGGTGCTCAGCGCCGCCCAGCACCAGCACCCAGCCGACGTACTTGCTGCAGTCGGCGCTCGCTTCTGGACCGAAGACAGCCAGAAACGCTGCCTGCCTCGTCGCGGGGGGCTTGCCGTCGATGGATGCCCACAGCTGGCGTCGCGACGCCAATGTGTGTCCGCACGCAAGCAGCGCGTGGGAGACGTCCACCTCCGTATTGGGATGCACCGCAACAGGGCAGGACCAGCGGCGCGTCCTTGTCGCCCAGGACTGGCAGCGGCCAGCGGCCTGTCACCCTGCATATCGCCCAGAGCCTGTAATACAGAATGCCGCCGTGATCATCAAGCATGTCCTGCTGCAGGCTCTGCTGCAGCGCTGGCATGTGACTGCGAAACGGTAGCTCCCTCCAGACATGGTAGTGGCTGGCTGGCCGCCGTATGCACCAATGCCTGGTCGTTGGCGCGCGTGGCCGGCAGTGCCACCTCCTGGCAGTAGCGCCGTAGCAATGATTTGCGGGACGCCGGCGAGGACCCGGCTGCAACTACCTCTGAATTTGAAACCTTCATGTCTGGAAGGGTCCGGCATGCCGGCCATGATTTGGTCAGCCGCCCGTCACCAGGAGGGCGCCAGCGACGCGCGCAGCCTCCCACATCACCGCCGCCGGGTTTCCTTCTGGGCCTCCGGGAGGACCCAGAGCCTTGCTCGTGCCATGACCACTTGTAGGAACATGAGAAAGAGCGCGTTCTGTGGTCGCTTTGAGAGGGGGGGGGTTGGAACCGACTCCCCCCCCCAGCCTCCCTCCCTTGCTTCCCCTCTCCTCGGGCCGGCGCTTGCGTCGGCGGCGGCTGGCGGCGGCGGCGGGGACGACGATTTCGTTTTCTGGGCCAGCGCCAGCGCCTTCGGCGGCTGGCGGCGGCGGTGGGGACCGTCGAAGAGGGCGACGGTGGTGGTGGTGGTGGTGGTGGTGGTGGTGGTGGTGGTGGTGGTGGTGGTGGTGGTGGTGGTGGTGGTGGTGGTGGTGGTGGTGGTGGTGGTGGTGGTGGTGGTGGTGGTGGTGGTGGTGGTGGTGGGTGGTGGTGGTGGTGGCGGTGGTGGTGGTTGTGGTGGTAGTGTGGTGGTTTGTGGTGTGGTGGTGGTGGTGGTGGTGGTGGTGGGTGGTGGTGTGGTGGTTTGGTGGTGGTGTGGTGGTGGTGTGGTGGGCGGTGGTGGTGGGTTGTGGTGGCGGTGCTGGCGTGGTGGTGGTGTGGCGGTGGTGGGTTGTGGTGGTGGCGGTGGTTTGTGGGGGTGGTGCTGGTGGTTTCGGTGGCGGTGGTGGTGGTGGCGTGGTGGTTTGTGGTGGTGGTGGTTGATTGTGCTACTGATAGTTAGTGATTGTGGCGGTGGTGGTGGTGGTGTGGTAGATTGTGCTGGTGGTGGTAGTGGTGGTGGGTTTTTGTGGTGGTCTGGTGGTGGTGATGATGACTTGAGTTGGTGGTGGTGCATGTGGTGGCTGTGGTGTGGTGGTGTGGGGTGGTGGGGGGTTGTGATGGTGGCGGTGGTTTGTGGGGGTGGTGGTGGTGTGGTGGTTCGTGGTGGTGGCGGTGGGTTGTGCTGCTGGTAGTGGTGGTGGTTGTGGCGGTGGTGGTGGTGGTGTGGTAGACTGTGGTGGTGTTGGTGGTAGTGGTGGTGGGTTTTTGTGGTGGTGGTGGTGGTTGTGTGATGGTGAGTTGTGGTGGTGATAGCGGTTGTGGTGGTAGTGGTGGCTGTGGTGGTGGTGGTGGTGGTGGTGGTGGTGGTGGTGGTGGTGGTGGTGGTGGTGGTGGTGGTGGTGGTTGTGGTGGTGGTGGTGGTGGTGGTGCTGCTGGTGGTGGTGGTGGTGGTGATGGTGGTGGTGGTGATGATGGTGGTGGTTGTGTGGTGGGTTAGTGGTGGTGGTGGTGGTGGTGGGTTGAGGCGGCGGTGGTGGTAGTGGTGGTGGTGGTGGTGGTAGTGGTTGCAATCGTCGCTACGTCCCCGCCGTCGCTGGCGCCAGTGCCGGCGCTGCTGGCCGCCGCCAGCGCCGGCGCCGGCGCCAAAGGGGGGGGGTTCACCCGAAGTGGTACGAATTACAACCGACTAGGACCAATCCCAACCGTTCGGAGCGAATTGCAACCAGAAAAGAGACCAATTCCAACCACAAATGAGACCAATTCCAACTCATCCAAAACTGAAACCAATTCCAACCACGGATGGGATCTTCGGAATTCCTCCGGATCCCTTCGAAATCTTTGGTATTCCTCAGGATTCTTCAGGACTCCTTCGGAATTCCTTGGGATTCCTTCGGAATTCCTCACGATTCCTTCGGAATTCCTTAGGGTGCTTTCGGAATTCCTCAGGCTTCCGCTTTCGCAATTCCTCAGGCTTCCTCTGGAATTCCTTAGGAATCCTTCGGAATTCTTCAGAATTCCTTTTGGATTCCTCCTTCGGAATTCCTTTGGATACCTCCTTGGGGATTCCTTTGGATTCCTCCTTCGGAATTCCTCTGGATTCCTCCTTCGGAATTCCTGAGGATTCCTCCTTCGGAATTCCTCTGGATTCCTCCTTCGGAATTCCTTTGGATTCCTCCTTCGGAATTCCTTTGGATTCCTCATTCGGAATTCCTTTGGACTCCTCCTTCGGAATTTCTTTGGATTCCTCCTTCGGAATTCCTTTGGACTCCTCCTTCGGAATTCCTTTGGATTCCTCCTTCGGAGTTCCTTTGGACTCCTCCTTCGGAATTCCTTTAGGATTCCTTCTTCGGAATTGTTGTCGCTTCGCGAATCCCCACCAGCCCATCCAGAAACGATGCCCAGAGGAATTGCCTCGATCAGAGAAGTGGGCAGCACACAGAGGAAGCCATTATGAGACATCTTGGGATATCTTGAGCCATCTTGGAGGTCATTTTGGGCTCTCCCAGACGCTCTTGGAGTCATCTTAATCCGTGCCCCCCCCCAAGAGGCCTCCATGTGGCTAAAACCTGTGTAGAATCAATGATTAGGCATTCTCGCCGAGGCCTCTTGGAGCATCTTGGGTGCATCTGGGGGGGCTCTTGGGGCCTCTTGGGGGTCTCTTGGGGGCCTCCGGGGGGCCTCTTGGGGGCCTCTTGGGGCCATTTTGGGGCCATCTTGGGACCTCTTGGGGCTTCCTGGGCGCTTCTTGGGGCCATCTTGGAAGAGATCGATCAAACAAGAGGGGGGGTTCAATTAGCGCCCCCCCTCGGAAGCCCCGAAGAGGCCAAAATCGTCCCAAAACCTAAGGAAAATCAATGATTTTTGCTTTCTCGCCTTTTCGCTTCCGGACGCTCTAACTACCCGCGGCCCCCCCCGTCCAGGTCCAGGGGAGGGGGTAGGGGGAGGGGTAAACCCCTCCCCAAGGGGGAAGAGGGAGGGGTGGAAGAGATCTGTTCGAACCACCTACGCCCAGAGGGCTGTTGGATTCCTTGGGGATCCTCCTTCGGAATTTCTTTGGACGCCTCCTTCGTGATGTTTTTGGACGATAAATAACTACTACTACTACTACTACTACTACTACTACTACTACTACTACTACTACTTAACTACTACTACTACTACTACTACTACTACTACTACTACTACTACTACTACTACTACTACTACTACTACTACTACTACTACTACTAATACAACTACTACTACTACTACTACTAATACTACTACTACTACTACTACTACTACTACTACTACTACTACTACTACTACTACTACTACTACTACTACTACTACTACTACTACTACTACTACTACTACTACGACTACGAAACTACGACTACCACTACTACTACTACTACTACTACTACTACTACTACTACTACTACTACTACTACTACTACTACTACTACTACCAAGAAGATCCATTTGCATATTTTAGAATCGATGTTTACGCTTCGGTGCCCTCTTGCTCATCTTAACGTAGTGCTCGTGCGCAGACCAAAAACTGAGACCAATTCCAACTCGAGCACGCATGTTGGCTTCCAGATCCTGTGCGTTGACATAAGGAGTGCCACTTGGTCTTCGCACTCGTCCTGGGCTTCTCTACAATTAAAATCCTAGTGTGGGGCTATCCCAAGATGGTTGGGATTGGGCCCAGTTTGC